CGATTCTGATCAGGGATCAGGATCCCGTATCAACTACCGTGCCTCCGTATTCCCGGGGTAGGTCAACAAGGTCGTTTGGATTTTCGACAGGATTTGTCGATTTTTGAAAGAATTGCCGCCAGGTATCAGGTTATCTCGCGTCACCTACCGTAACTCTGCCATAATGGAGTAGGCCAATACCGTCTTGTAGGGTTTTATACCGGATTGCGGGATTTTTGAGCCACTTGAACAAGTTAGATCAGTGGTATTTCCTCCGTACTCGTCCTTGTCGGCACGGATTCTAAGAACGCGGCATTTTCTAGTTAAAGGTGACAGGGAGTCATCGTTTTCTAACCAAAATAACTGAACAAATTCCTTTGTAAAAAGGGGTCAGACGGTCCCCCTTTGCTTATATCGAGCCCCGAGGTTCAACAAATCTCGAGGGATGTTTGTCGAAACGCACACAAATGATCTCTGCTAGCATGCTGGGCTCAAATTTTGGCTTGGCACGAAAATTAGATTACGATGAAGACGATGTACTAAATTTGAATGTTTTTCGAAATCTCGGCGGCCGGCATATCGGCGGTGCTTTCTAACTCCCACTCCCAGACCAAAGAAACTAATTTGCGTGTGAGCCAGACTCCCCCAATTTCCGGGCGCATTGTAGTTTCAGCAGCCGTTTTTCCGCTTGAACCCCATGATTAATCCGTTGCCCCGTCCCATCAACCTTCGCCAAAGTACTCCTTCCGTTTTCAAGCAGAAAAAAAGGTTTTAACGTCTGCGCCGTGTGTTCTGGTGTGGGCGGAAAAGCGGCAGACGGCGTGGGTGTCTTGGAGCATGCAGAAAAAAATTAACTGATAAATAGACAGATGGCAATCTACTGATCAACGATCATATCATCGCAAAGTTGTACGATCAATTTACATATCAGGGTTTTGAGTTTTATACTCTAGGTTTCGTGCCTAGGTGGCCTATAGTCTACGCACTTTGCTCTTTGGCCCAGCCAAACGAAAATTGACAGCGTGGTCCGCTCTGCAACCGAACGGAAAAGATCAATTGAATCGGAGAGAAACAGCGAGCGAGACGGCATAGAAAGAAGAGAGAGAGAGAGAGAGAGAGAGAGAGAAAGAGAGAACGGAAGAGAGACTGGCGCTCCGTGCAGCAGCCGAATGATCGTCGATCCCGCTAGTCGATGCGCGCGCGTGCAAAACAACTAGCCCCCGGATGAGGGAGGGAAATATTGGGGAAATTCTCTGGAGGGACGGGTACGAAAATGGAGCTAATTATACTTTTAATCGACAGGTTAATCTAATTTATCAAATATCTACTAAGAAGCCTTCGGATCAACGTACTGAATTCGAAACCTTTTTGCTGGTTTGGCATTTGAGGTAATGCAAAGGAATTTAGTCGATTTTTCGCCATGAATTGCTTACAATGTTTTCTTGTCGCGGAATAAAACGTTCCATTTCGTAATGGATTAGCAGTCCGTCAAGAATCCACACTTATACCCTGCTATTTTCTTTCAAGTGCACCTAAAATTATAGAAAAATAAAAATTTTCAGAACTATATTCGCTTCATTTTACCTTATACCCGGAGCCATTTAACATAATTCCTCTCTTCGCCCAGACTACGATGATCAGGTAGAAGGTCGGCATGATTTAGCCGATCCGCCAAATCTCAATCGGTCATCCCCAGCAAAACCAGTTCAATCCAGCTCACAGCTCTACCAGGCAGGCGAAAGATTCGGCAATTATCAATCTCTGGCTGATCGCCTTCTTCTCTGCAGGTTCGCCGAATAAATCGTTGCACACCGCCCGGCCGATGGTGACTGCGAGCCGGGCAATTTCGATTTCCAAAAGTCGCCCATCTGTACCACCGATGCGTTACGGTAGAAGGAAAAGGCAATGATCTCGGGGTCGGCAGAAAATGGGAAAATTGAAATTCGGACAACTCCTTCCGCAAGCTTTGAAAGATCTGTTTTGTCCACCACTTAAAGCTCTATCACAGGGGCTCTGGCACCTCTTACAGCTACAAAAAGTTAAATAAATTAACGGAAAGTTGGAATACTTGGGCTCTGAAGCCTAAATTTAGTAATTTCCTACAGGTCTACCTTTTCGTGGCAAATGATGAAATTTAAAATAATTTCCGGGGCGCGTTTTAGCAGCATCTTATCAATTTCCCCAAACCAAACCTTCTCCGCTCTGGTTACGCTCTTTTTTTGAAGGTAGAAAAAACAATAGCGGCTATATCAGTCCGTTCCGCAACTGGAAAGTTACTAAAGCTCATAGGGATCCACCAAAAAAATTATAAGGACTGGTTTTTAGGCTATTTTAAAGGGGTTTTTATGTGGCGTCGCTCCTTCAATAGAGCTTGAAATTATAAATCTCCTATATTTTTCAAGAATTATTCAGCTATAAAGGGCTGCGTCGAGAACCTTATTTAACTTGTTTTTAAACGATTCGACAAGTACCTCAAGCGTTCTGCATAATTTCGACTGAACGGCTTAGTCATAGGGCGTATTTTCCCATCCCAGGTCAGCTCCGCTTTGACGCATCATTCCCCCACGCCGATCCGGCATATTGGCCCGGTTTAGCCGGGGATAATAAAGGATACGGTAGAATTCCGTGTGATGATTCGGTACTTGCCGTTCCATTATGCAAAACGTTTTGTGGGACTAAAATTTTTGATTTAATAAAAATATATTTTAATAAAAATTAAATTTTTTTTGATACGATCATTGTTTAATTTAGAATTTTTTATAGCGACTGAGTCGTATAGACCATACGCTACGCACCCGGCGCCATGACAAGGTCATAATCCATTACGACAGCTAAAAGAGGAATAGTTGAGATCGTATCACTTTATACAGAAAAATCCTGAGGCGAGAAATAGAGTTTTTGTGTTTTCAGTGTTTTCAGTGTTTTTTAAGTTTGTGATAAAAACAATTTTTCAGAGACTGCTGAAAGGTTTTTAGGTCAATTCTGGGCTTGTGCGCAAATTTTGCACCCGCTTTCCAATAGCGCAACTGCTACATCTTTTTAATTTTTTTGTCTAGGATTATTATCCCTTATTACCAGTAGAACTGGACCACCCTGATCTCCGACCAGATTGTAGCCAATCAAAGCACACGATCTTCGTGTTTGCACGGCACTTTCCCCCTCTAAACGGCTCTCGAAACGAATTGTGGTTAGCGCACCGTGAGCAAAGTCCACACCAAAACCCCGCTAGAGGCGGCCGATTCTGCGGGCGCACCACAAACAAAAACCCTCCTCCGCAACGCTTTTTCCGGAGGGTGACCACCGTTAGCAAAACCAGGAGAGCGAACAAAAGATCGCCATTTTGGTCGCGGGGTACCCCAGCAAACAGGGCCCTGGTCAGCGCCTAGCACGATGCAGGTTCCTCGGGTCCAAATGTTCATGTTTTCCGAGTTCATGAGGCAAAGAACACGAGAACAGCAGGGACAGCATCAACAAGCGACGTAGAGTAGAAAAGGTTCTGGAAGGGACCGAGAAAAACCCTAAAACATTTATTTTCGACGCTCTCCAAACAAAGTAACAAGTTTTACCATCAATCGTCTCCCGGACCAAAAAGCAAAAACATTGCTCCCGGTGAGGCTCGAACTCACGACCTTCAGATTATGAGACTGACGCGCTGCCTACTGCGCTACGGAAGCACCGGGATCGTGGTCTGGGCTTGGGTATTTGAGGGGAGTGGCCTCACCGGTACCGCTTCCATCCCCCTCGTGGTGGATGTGTCCTTTTTGGCAGTAGAGAAGTAGAGAACTATTCGGATTTTTAATGGCGTTTATTTGATAGGTTTAAAATAATATAGAATATGATCCAGATAACATAGAGTATGCTAAAATCATCGATAAAAATTACTTATGACCATGATCTATGCTCATCACCAACCTCTAAAGAGCTTTCAGGTTTTTGCCTGTTTTGTCCTAGATGAATAGGAACATTTATGATAATTCAAACATTCTCCTTTTATTAGGCTTAACGACCTCAAAATTCCACCGAACTGTCTTAATTATTCAGAACAGAGCCCTGGGCTCATAAGCGATTTTTTTGCTGTAATTCAGATGCCTGCCAGCAGTTCAAAAATGGATACCCCAGACGGAAATTGCTTAGCTACCATTAGGATTTACGTGTTTTGCGCCGGACCATCCTTAGCCTCGGTCTGCTCGCTTTGCTCTAAATTTCGCGAAAACCGGACCATCTAAATGACCATCGCAGACCCGGTCGAAGGGGGGAGGCGATCTTGAAAAATTGGGCGCCGCTTGATCTCCGAGCATTTAGCGCTTTGGGTAGATCGAAAGATCAAACGGCCGGGATTGCATTCTGTACCCCACAGGAAGTGCCGGGCTGAGTTTAGGGACGAGCGGATTTGCGGTGGATGGGATAGTCGGCAGGGACGAGCAGAAATGCGTGAAAAAGACTCAAAATCTGGAAATTTAAATAATTTTATTGATTATTGATATTAGGCTTGCATCGATATATTAACATCAAAATTAGGCTTAGCCGTAAAGGAACATCCAAGAAAATTCTTTATTTCTCGCCGGTTCCGCGCATCGATGCGGTTTTTACCGGTGAACTTAGTTTTATGTAAATTTAGCTAAATTTTAAGTCTTAACTCAATATGACTGTGTTAACCCCTATCAATGAACATTTTTCAGCTCATCTTCATCACCCTTCTAGCGCCCGTCGCTGGCGCTAAATGTCCGAGCGGCTGGGTGGACGGCGGCGACGAGTTTTACTGTATCCATGTAAGCCTATTATATCCAAACTATTTTCAATTTTGTTATATAATTCATTTCATCCCGCACTTAAGGCTACAACCGTATTCTTCCACGACTACGACTCGGCTCTGGAGTATTGCCAAACGCTCCAGAAAGAAGCCCTGCCCCTGCTACTTGGAAACGGAACGAAGCTTGAGGCTTTTGAAAGTTGGACATTTTTAAAGCTATAACTCTCATTTTTCGACGTGAACTTCCCGGCGCTGCGCGGCTTCAATCAAAGTGATGTGGAGCTGTGTAGCGAGGTAAGGGAATAGTTGGTACATTTCTTTCTATTTCGTTCCCGCTCACACTCTATCTCTCTCTTGCGCTCTCTCTCTCTCTCTCTCTCTCCTCGCTCTCCCATCACCAATCTTTTTCAGTTCCCCGAATTCTTCATCCACAACGAAACTCAATACCCCGACGTCACCGAGACGTGCAAGAAGGTGAGCAGCTTCTACTCACACGAGCCCCATCCGAGTTTAGCTCAAGTTCGAGCTCAAAGAAGACGCTGGGTGCAAGAAGCCGACGATTCTGGGCACCGACTGCAAGCCGTCAAAAGAGCCATATTCAGTCGTCTGCCAGTTGCCGCCCGGAGTTGTGGAGATATCCGCGTGGGCTTCGGAATTCCGCTTCTGACCTCGACGTTTTCCACAGATCCTACTGGAAAGAGATGGGGATCCTGGTGACGCAGCCGATCGTCTGGCTATTTGGGCTGATGAGCATCGCATTTCTCGTCGCCCACCTACAGTACCTGCGCCATTCGAATGGGTTGTATCAGCCCTACTTGGCTGCGGTAAGCAGTGGGATTTTCACGCGCGTGGCGAATGCGTGGCGCTCTAGAATGGTGCTCGGGCGGCAGCTTATCGGGGAGAACCAACTTTTTTCCCAGAAACCAATTCCTTTTTCTCCAGTTTGATGCTGAAACTCTTTAAACTACTTGAAAACCTCTTTAAACCCAATTTTCAGGTGAAAGTGCTCAGCCACAAGGTCGACCGGGCCGAGATGCCCCCCGCCGACTTGGAGGAGGTCATCGGACTGGTCGGTTTGGCGCTTAAACTTACATGGAGTCCATCGACAGCTGGGCCTCGACCGAGTGGCGTGGAAGCAGGAGAAGACCGACATGATGATCGAGGCCGACCCGGTGGCGGCGGTGCTGAAGCGCGAGAAGCTGTCCGGTTGGATTGGGCTTTTGAAGGAGATGCTATCTTAGCTCCAAAACTGCTCATCTACGGCTCGCAGCCCAAACCCAAGCAGACGACGTCGACGATGAAGACACCGACAACGACCGCTTCGAAATCTCAGGATCCGGTGTGCTCTGACTCTAGCTTTTTTGACGTCTCCAAGTTCAGCCCGCCCCCGAGAAGAAGGAGAAGAGCAAGTCGAAGAGCAAGAGCAAGAGCAAGGGAAAGGAGCCGGAGAAGAAGGAGGAGGATGAAAAAGTAAAGATCGAAAGCTGAGGGGAACTTATTAATGCATACCTCAGGCTCCCGATGCGACCCAGAAGAGCAAGAGCGTCAGCAAGAGCAAGAGCAAAAGTCAGGGAAAGGAGCCGGAGAAGAAGGAGGAAGAGAAAAAGGTCTGTAATGAGTCGTATTACGGACGAATTTATCTTCTTCAGGAAGAGGAAAAGAAAGATGACGAGAAGAAGGAGGAAGAGAAAAAGACGGAGGAGAAGAAAGATGAGGAAAAGAAGGACGGAAGCGGAGGCAAGAAGGAGGACGAGAAAAAGCAGGAGGAGAAGAAGGATGGCAGCGGCGGGAAGAAGAGTGGAAGTGGACCGAAGAAGGAGGAGGAGAAAAAGGTAAGTAAGCTAGTTGAATGAATGGTTTATTCAACCGGGTAATATAACGTAGGCAAAAAATGATAAACACGTAAAGTGAAAAAAACATGGGTGAAAGACGAGGGACGGGGATAATAGGTTTTTTGCTTAGGAGGGATTATGGGCTAGGGGAAGGGTTTCAAGACTTTTCCTAAAGCGTTTCGCGCTGGTCGGAGGGTTCAAGAGGAGAGGTGGCGGAAGTGAATTCCATAGTTTTATGATGCGTCGTGAAAAGATAGACCTAGGGGTATCTCCTACGCTGTTAAATCTAGTGAGCTGGAACCTGTGGGAACTCCTAGAAGGTCGCGTCGCAAGTTTAAGAAATTTGACTGGATAGCTCTGCTGGAAAATTATTCGATAGCACAGGACGAGGTCATTTTGGTTTCGGCGTGTTTCGAGGGTGGGGATTTCAAAAAATGCTAGCCTCTCTTCATACGGAATTACGGGAAACCCTGGGCAAAGTTTAGAGTAGGCATGAAAGGTAAATCTTTTCTGGACATTTTCGATCTTCTGAATCAGATATTTGCGGGATGGAGACCAAACTTCACTCGCATATTCCAGAATCGGTCTACATAGTGTGCAAAAAGCGCGGATATAAGTAGTTTTATTGGGTACCTGAATCTTTTGATGATTAAGTACGAAATTCGCGCCGCTCTTGCGCAGATTTCAGTGATATGCGGCTTGAAAGAGAGCTTATTTGTGTATCTAACACCGAGATCCTTGATGATATCGACCGTTTCGATTGGGCTATTTGCGAGAAGTAAGGGAGGTGCGGGACTTAGGGAAGTTAAGCAAAAAGGTCTTATTAACGGCGAGGGACATCCCATTTTCCGAGGCCCATTTTTCTATGATAGAGATGTCGGACTGGATAGAGGTGTGGGGACTGGGACCTGAGCGCGGCCCAATACCTGCATAGATTTTGAGATCGTCAGCGAATAAGAGATTTTTGTTTACTAGAAGGGGTGGGAGATCATTTATGAAGATCAAAAAAAGTATGGGCCCTAAGACACTACCCTGCGGGACCCCCGAGGTTTGAGGACGTGGCTTAGAAACTGAGTCTCCGTTCTGTACATGAAAAGTCCGACCGGTGAGATAGGCTTTCAACCACGAGTATATGGGAACAGGCAGGCCCGTTTGGGCGACTTTATCTAGGAGAATGTGATGGGGGACTTTATCAAAAGCTTTTGCTAGATCGAAATATATGCTTATTGGTTTTTCACCGGAATCTAACATGTTGGCAAAGTCATGGAACATTTTGATGAGCTGCGCGGTGGTAGAATGAGAGGCTCTGAATCCAAACTGGGCCGGGGAAAAGAACTGTTTAGCATCTAGAAAAGAAATTATTTTGTGTTTCAGCGCAACTTCAATAACTTTGCAAATCGATGATGTGAGGGCTATTGGGCGATAGTTTTGGGCCTTAGTTTCGTCGCCGGTCTTAAAAAGGGGTACTATTCGAGAAAGTTTCCAGTGAGCGGGGATATCACCTTTTAGTAAGGTGATATTAAAAAAGCCTAGTCAGAACGGGAGCGAGTATCACCGAACATTTCTTGAGGAAAAGAGTGGGAATGTTTTCGGGCGTCCAGTGGGTTTTTGATTCATGGAAGCTAGGGCCTTGTCAATATCGTTAGGGGTGAACAAAAAGGGGGCGAGGGGTCGGGATGATGGGAGGGGGGACGTTGCCCTCGAGCGGGCTGAAAAACCTGCGAGAAATAGGCTGCAAATTCCTCTGAGACCTCCGCCTCGTCTGTGATTTTGGGAGAATTTTGATTTTTGAGAAGTGAGATGGGATTTGGCTTACTCTTAGATTTTATGTGGGCGAAAAGAGGCGGGGATTACCAGAGGCAAATATGCGTTTTTCCGCGTTTCTCAAGAATTTCTGGCAATTTACTTTATGCCGTTTGGAATGGGCCAGATACTCATCAAAGCTACCGGACGTCGCAATAAATCTAGACCAGGCATCATCTTTCTTCCTAAGAGAGCGCTGAATGTGGGGCGGGATTTTAGGTAAGGTGCCTTTGAGCCTACGGGGGACGGTGTCATTGATTATTCTCGCGAATTCCAGGCAAAATCTGTCATAGGTCGCTTGGATAGGATCAGCGAGGGAAAGAAATGACCAGTCGGTAATAAATAACTCGGATTGGGCCTTAGCATAATCTGCAGAGTGAAAATCGGGAGCGAGTTTGACTAGAGCTAGGTATGACATTTTGGGCGAAAAGGGTTGCTACTGTTGCTATATGATCGCACTGGTTAAAAGCGGGAGCGGGCTTGCAATCGATGTTTAGGTCAGGGCTAGCGACAAAAAGATCCAAAATTTTGCCCGTACGGGGAAAAGTCGGGAAGGTGGTCAGCAGTTTTAGATTTTGCTCAAAGAGTAGATCGCGTAAAAGATCGGCTATGCCCGCCGAGAAGGAGGGACCCGGGAAAATAGGCAGGTTGAAATCACCTAGTAAAATCAGCGAATTTGCTAAAAGAAATGGTTCTAGATTAGCAAAAAGCGATTCCGTTTGAGAGTAAGACGTTTGGGGAGGTCTATAAACGTTAACGAATCGGTACGGCAATGAGGAGAGAAATATGTCTAGAATAGTTTGCCACATTTTATGTAAATTTTGACGTTCTAGGAAACGACCGAAAAGAAGGAGGACGAGAAAAAGGACGACGCCAAGACTACGTAGAAAATGCGGCGAATACTCGAGTGTCCAAACGCCTTTAATACCCTCGCCCGTTCGCGTGCTCTTTTTTTTATTTATTTTTGCCCCCTACCAACCCTCCGAAATACCCGTACTCATTGTGATGTATTGATTTTTTCGCTGGAATAAACGGCTTCACCCGCTCAGCTGGAATCGAGATCAGAAAAGGAAGAATGGAAACATTCAAAAATTGTAAGATCATGAAAATTAGCTAAAAAACATCGAAATGCTTCAATTTGAATAATTAAGAAGAAAGAATTGAGACAAAGTTGCGCAGAAAAGGCAAATTAAAGTTCGAATCAGGTATCCTTATGCTCGTAATACGTCGGGTCGAAATATGTGGGCGGTGTCGTCCAATATTGAGGGGCAATCTGGAACATTCAACTAGATTCACGGCTTCTGCTAGCTTGCCCTGTTCTTCATCAAAAGCTCGCAAAAAAAATTTGAACAAAGCCAAAAATCTTTTTCACTTTGCAAGTCTAGTATTCCGAGACTTAAACAACACTTTCACGTTACATCAACGTTAAAAACGAATTTTTAGGTATGGTCAAATTAAGAAATTAGTGAGCCCAGAAACCTACAGCGCCCGCGAAAAAATTCCGATCCGTCGGCTGCAACAGATAGTTAGGCTGTGAGGTCGCGAGTTTTGTCACTAAATATTATCGATAGATCCTATTTCTTGTCCGTATTTTACCATTTGGATATGCATTAAAAGCGGCTAGGGCATCACTGCCGCCACCACTGATCACCGTGTTCTGGCACGCCTGGGCCAACCCGTGAAAGTCAAACTTGTATGCGTAGCGCTTGCCATGGACCTGAAATTTCAGGATTGGTATGAGTAGAAGTGAATAGAGAGAGCGAGAGAGAGAGAGAGAGAGAGAGAGAGAGAGAGAGGCGAGGGAGGGAGGAAGGGAGAGAGGGAAACAGAGAAAAATATATACGGAGAAAACCTCGAAATCCATACCTTGGTCATGATATTCTTATCGTAGTAGTACCGCAGGGCCCGACTCAGCTTGTCATAGTTCATATTCGGCTTGCTATAAGGTCTGCAAGTAACTACGAGCTTCAAATCGTTAAAGAAAATCGGCAGATTACAAAAAATCGCCAGCTCAGCCTAGCCAGATGCAAATTTAATTTCATCGATACCTTTTCCGCTCGCCCCACTTCCTCGCGACCTCGTCCGGGTCGACCAGCTTGAACTCGCCGTTCCCGCCCTCCCAGCTGATGCAGTGAGCATGGCCTAAACATTGATTATGACGATGGTAAGTGAGCAGCTTCAAAAAGTCAACTGGCAAAGGCGAGTATTTAATGAAAGTATGCCCTGCCAACTTACAATGCGGTTCGGCTAACAATTCTAGCAAAAATTGCCAAAGCTGGATCTGGCCGCTGCCTAGCGCTTGCGGCGGGAGTCGCGTCAGCAACGATGTATATTGTAGGCCTTCCAAGTCTGGAAGATATTTGCTTCGGTCTATAAGTTGGGGGTATATTTCTTGTACTTTACATCCCAGCTTATCTTGTCCCAAATTTTCAAGCTTCCAGTTTGTTACACAATTCTAGGTTTACGGTTTTTGAGGGCAGACAATCCAGGGTTTTTGCTTGTTGTGCATTCCGTATCGCACTTACCACGTAACTCGTCATTCTTTTACAAATACGTAATGGACCACGGTACTGTAAAAGAGTACTGTAGCCGCGCATTTTTTTATTCCCTCAAAAAGAGAAAATTTACTCACAAAATCCTAGAAAACTCTCAATCTGGGAGACGTCTTGCATAGCTCTTTTGATTCTATTAGCGTTCCACATTTTTATTCTACGTTTTTGATCAGGTACCACCTCTTACTAATTACTTACTATTCTCTTATCTATTCCCAAAATCAATATCCCCCTCTCGCGGCTCTTTCTTATTTGGTGGTGGAGGTGGTGGTGGGTGAATGAATGCCTCCACACGGGGCCCACTTCCGGTCCAGAGGCCCATGTAGCCACTCTCCGCGGCCATAGGCCGATTAGCCAACCGAAACGAAAATTTGGGTCCCCGGAGGAGGTGTATGATGTAGAGGAAAGAATTCTTGGTACAAAATTGGGGAGTGAAATTGAATCGGGTTACCGTGGATGGAAAATGCAAGCAAAATAGAAGCAAAAGAAACTCTAAGGATCATCCAAAGAAGATTGACTAAAATTTAAAAAGCTTTCGTTCCAAGAATTTCGATAAAAACTACCGTATTGCGTTTGAAGCGTCGAAGGGTCGGGCTTCGTCTCCAACCAACAGTTGCCCACCGACGGGTAACTGGTTCCTGTAAAGGCTGACTATTTCTACCGCTTCAACGCCTGGGAATCTCGAGAAATATTGTTTTATGGTTTTCAATTAGCGGAAGAACGCGGAAAACTCGTTTTCTCGGCTTCAATTTTCCCACGACCTCTGGTGGTGATTTCGGAGCAAGACGGGTTGAAAAGAGTATCGATGAGTAACCCGATTTCATGAAGGACCAATGAACGATGGCCAAATTTCCGCCTTCGACACCTTATTTTTCGCAACGTTTGAAGGTTTGAAAACCGCAACTGGAACAATTTCTGAGCAGCTTTAAACCGTTTATTCCTAAGTCGTTATAGCATGGAATTTGGAACAAAAACTGCTGAACGATAACGATCTCCGATATGTTTTGCAAAGTTTTAATTTTGCTAACGATGTAAGCGCATCAAAAAATTCAAAAATTCGTGACATGGCTACTAAACCCGCCAGTTATGTCGGTAAGGCCGGATCACTATGAGTGTTGCGCGACATGGGATGGAGGCTGGCTAAGCTTGACCACATTGAATTTGCAAAAAGCCAGGGGTTACTGTAGCTTTCGAGTAGCTCCAAATTCAGAGTAACTAAAAAACACGCCAGCAATGTTGGTAGGGCCCGAGGACCCCCACAAGTTATGGCGCGCCACAGGAAGGAAGCTGGATTTCCGGGCCGGGCTCGCGTGGCCACGGGGTCGGCCCGAGAATATGTCTTCCGGTGGCGCATCCGGCGCTGCTATTGTCAGGGGGGAATGGGGCGCTTTTCCGGTAGCCCCCGAAGGGGGGAGAGGTCAAGATTTAGCGCGGGAACACATCTCTACACTTACCCAATCCTGATGAAGCGCCGGGGTACATCGAAGCCAAGGCTGTGAGGCTAGGTGGTGGTGGTGGTGGGCCTTCCAGGATGCCGATTCGCAGATTCGTAGGGCCCAGACTGGGGAGTCGATCGGCACCCAGCTGGGCCACCTCTAGACCTCCACCTCCAGGGCCCACTACCGTACCCCCGGGGGCCCCTGAGTTGGCCCCTTTTCGGTTTCCAAGACGACGGGTTGCACTCACTGCGAGTGAAGGCTTCTAAATCCGAATCCACCTCCTCGGGGGCAGACAAGTTGAGGACAACGACCAACATCATCTACTAGATTTTACCGGATGCAAATAAGAAGTGCGATCAATGATTACGATACAAACAAGCGGTTTAGACATATTGTTTCCGGTGGTTGCTCGTACTTCACTACGCTACACTACGGTGTCCATAGAAGCTTTCTGGAAAAATGATGTCATAGTTATTGACTGAAACCCCCCAATCCCTTAAAGCCATCTCCAACAACTTGAACATTTTCTTGCGTTCCCCCCTCAATTTATTTCCTCAAATACGGCGTAATGTTCAATATACAGTCTGGCTGCAGGTTCTAGAAGTTTTACTCTTTCAGGAATCGTTTAACAGCCAACCGCAAGAATTTTTGGAAAAAATTCTTATTGCTACTATCGCCAAATGAGAGTCATTTTTAGCGCCTGAACATGTACTTCTCGGCGTTGTCCGGCTAAACAAAAAATATCAATATCAATACGAGGGTGACACACGATTCCTAGACACCTAAGGGTACCCCAGCCGGCCCCCAACTATTGTATCTCGGCTCCCGGTTCATCTACAGGTGTTTAAAGTATAGCAAAATGTTCGTATTGCTCTGGTGGGTATCTTGATATACTTTACACACCTGTAGATGAACAGGGAGCCGAAATACGGTCGGTGGGGACGGCTGGGGGGTATCTGGAGTTTAGCCCCTTAAAGAGCTGTAACAATCAATTTACAAGTAATACCATGAAACTCATACCTTTTATTAATAAGGTAATTTCAACTCACCCAATATTTTCTGTAAGCACATTCCGTTTTTCACCCTATAGCTGAGCTCTCCATTCGATTCCTTCCGCACCCTTTTTCAACTTTGGTCCCAACTCCGGTTATACAATCCGGATGTTCCTCGACATTAGCATGATGCGAAGGTGTGACTTGCCACCGGGTCCCCACAAATAGCTCACAATCGCTCTTCCAAGAGCTGCTGTGGGCTGGCCCCAGGGCGCGTACCGGAAATGGCCTAATGCATCCAGTGGCTCGTGAAAACATCCAACGCGGCATGGCCAGGCGAACGATGAGGTTGGAGAATATGGGTAGAACTTGTAATGACGGAGTTTTTCGGGGAGTAAAATATCTGGGAAAACGGTATAATAAGTATCGAAATTCCTTAATTAAATAGCCTTATTGCATGCTGGAAAAGGAGTGGCAAAATTCAGGACCATAGATTTATGATTTATAAAAGAGCAAAGAGTGCAAAAATTTTTCAGTATTTTTGAATATCAAAATTTGTAAAAGCGATAATTTGTTATCTTATTTTTCTAGATAAATACCGAAAAATTCACCAAAAACCGTTTAAATCCAAAAAGCCTGAATTTTCCATTCGTCCATCCCCGAAAAATCACATAAAATCTTCCCCTTCATCTCCTCGAAGATGGGTTACGCTATTATGAAGCGCATCGAGGAGCCACCCGCCCTCCGGGGCTCACAAAAACAAGGAAACAGGGTGAAAACGAAAGAGAGAAGAGAAGAGAGAGAGAGAGAGAGAGAGAGAGAGAGAGAGAGACTCGCAAAGTGGCCGCGGCGGCGCGCGAAAGAATCCCCTTATCGGCGCGCCGCGCTGCAGCGAAACGGACATTGTTTTGCCTGTGCTCTCTCTGCTTCTCCCCGGACACTAGGGCTAAAAATCTTTGTTCCTCCACGGTTTCGTTGAATCTCTCGCCGCCTCCTCCCTGTATTTCGCTAGCGACCACCCCGGGGCGAGCGGAAAAGAGTCCGGTTGCTCCGGCCGGACTGCATGTATTGATACAAATTCAGCGCGTACGCGTGCTCGCTGCCAGCTCGACTCATTTCCCGGCTTATGGCAGGTTTAGCGCGGGGGCAAGGTCAAATTTTGGAGCGTAAACCTGCTGCCGGCTTAACTGCCTTACTCACACCCGTGTTACTCCGTGAATATGGTCGAAAATCGTCTTGAAATACACCTATGAATATTTCCATGACAACCAGCTTTCTTCGTTTTACCCTCATCAAATCTGTAAAAACAGCCCGAATTTCCTTGAAGCCTTCAGAATTTTTTCCGTATCGAAGCAGGTTGCCGTGCAACCCTTCTAGCTTCCGGAAAGGCTTCTTCCCCTCCACAAATTGGACAGGCTGCAGGGATTTTGAGGCTTTCCTATATAGCTAATGTTGCTAAAATGTATCTAAAATGTAAATCTGAACTATGATTCTATATTCCAAAAAGGCTCAGTGTTTTTCCTTTATGTATTTCTTTATTTATTATCGTTGTTCCAAGACTTTTGCCAGTTATAAACAACCTACACTAGAGGAATAAACGTTCCGGGCCATATTCCTTTCCGCCGGTCCGACTTCTAATCTTTCTTATCAGAATCACCGCCTTGCGAAAGGCCGAGACAAATCAAGAACCTAGTAAAATTATGGATCAAACTGTTCTCGGTCCTGCAAAAAAGAGCATATGACCTTGACCTCAAGCATGGTTAGACTAGGCTAGCCTCGTGCTCGCGCTTGTAACACCTCTAGACTTGACAGCCAAGCTTCCGCTCTTTTCCTGTTTTATTCGTCCTTTTTACAAGTTTTTAACTTTTCTAATAGTTTTTTCTTTGTAAAAACTTCTACGATATCATTTTTTCTTAGTGATAATAATTGAAAATTATTAAATAAAAACAACTGCAATACTCTCTTTTTCAGAATGGAGGTCATAACCAGCATTTTCAACTATTTCTGGGCGTTACCGGCTATGGTTAAGATTCTCATCGTCAGCTTGATAGTTATGGATGTTGCGGTAAGTCTAGTTTAGTTTAATAAACTCTGTAAAAAACTATTGTCCTTACTTTGTTTCGTCTAAGGGTGTAGATTATGATAATCTACCAAAATTTAGACGCAAGCACTTGGAGTTTGAACCTAACAACTAATTTTAGTTCTCAACCCTCTACGGAATTACTGGCAAATACAAGAAACTGTACAAGCTGGTGTTCCCCAAGCAGAAGAAGCAGTACAAGAAGTCCGGTGGCAAGAACTCTTATAAAGCCGGAAAGGCCAACTAGCAGCGATGCGGTGACGGGTGAAATAACAAAAAACATATTGAAAATTGCTCAAATAAATATATACTTAATGCCGGTAGTTTTGATGGCTCGAAATCGCATCGAAAATCGTCTAAAAATCTCTTTAGCGCCACTCGAATAACTCATCATAATTTTTATCGCATAAAAACGGGAAGCAATAAGACACAACGCCAGCCTTGCGCACTAGAAAAGCAGAATTCACAAATTCAAGGGTACATAGGGTTTAAAGGGCGTCTGGCAGCAATCCCCTTTTTTCACGACTCGTGGAAGCGTCGCGGTCGGGTGCGTCGCGGCAGGGAGAGAAAGAGCGCGCCCAGAGGAGAGACGTAGGCAGAACTCTGCGTCTCTGCCCGGTCCCCAAAATGCCGTAATCGGTGTGCTGCCAGAGCCGCTTTAAAGGAACAAAGTGTAGGCACAAATCTAGCAAAAAAAAAAACGGCTTACAAGCCTTCTAAACCGAGCGCTTGAGTGGTGAAGTGGGGGGATCCAAAACTTGGTGTTGCGGAGGCGCCTGTGAGCGCCCGCGCCCTTTTCCCTTTGCTCCCCGGTCCCTCGCCTATCCAGTGCCCTTTCCACCGTAACGGGGTCTCTCTCCCCCAGGGGCCTGCGATGGCATTTATTTCCCCAGTTCAGTTCTAATTTCCTCCTCCTATTGCCGCCATGTCGCTCACCGAATAAACAGTCTTTCGAACTGTTCGTCCCGCGCTGCCACACTCTACGCAAGACACAACAACTGGCGATCAGGATCACGAACTCACGCAACAACAAGGAAACCCCCAAGCCAAGAAGCAGCCGCTCAAGCCGCCGCCCGGTCAAGGAAAGGTTGGTCAAGCAGATGGTGATCAAGCGCAAGGACAAGAAGCTCTACATGGCAAGAAGCGGCGTCATCCCGTGGAGGATTCGATTAAAAGGGAAGTATTTTTACCCCTATCTGGCCTTCGCACTTTTTATGTGCTCGGATCGTGCGGGCATGCCCGTCGACAAGAAGGACCAAGTCGAAGCGCGCCGTCTTCGCCTCAAGTGCAACGAAGGAAGGAAGGATGTCGCCACCAAGGACGACAAGAAATGCAGAGAAGGTCGAGACGAAAGGGTCACAATGAGGCATCCGGCTGCCCCTCGCCCGCTCGAACTCCGTCAAGACCGGCCGCGAAACAACTTCAAAAAGAAGAACGGTTATGTCCTCACCCACAAAGGACGGGATACGCTTGCAAAGAGGTTAGGCTTGGAGATTGTCCCTCCCATATCCCCGGAGGATAAATCGGACAGGGTATGCCCCCACCCGCAGCATCCAAAACTCGATGGATCCGCGCCAGAAAGGAATTCGGACCGCTGGACGATGGCCATCGATCGCACGAGGAGCCCCACGAGCCCCGGCGAACAAAAAGCGACAACATCAAGTCGACAAAGCCCGGATCGCCACAACCAAGAGCAGCCGGCCGATGGGTTCCACCTCTACGGAAGAGGTCCATCGCAAAGACCGAGTGTTTGCAACAGCTCGGCGGACGGAGCGCGCACATCGAGCAGCCCGTCGACATGAAGCCCAACATCAAGCTCATCATTCTTGCAAAGAGGGAAGGAAGTCGTGCCACAAGTCGCCGTCTTCCTTGGTCAAGCATCGCCGGACGTTCTGAAGGAAGGAAGGAAGGTAAGTATCCACTTATTTTACGTTGTGATTTGATCCATCGTTTTGCTGTACGCAGTTGTACATTGCCTTTTGGTGTCTCCTCCTCTTATCCACATTTCTTTTCGTTTGTACAGGGGGAGGTGTTGCGGAGGCGCCTGTGAGCGCCCGCGCCCTTTTCCCTTTGCTCCCCGGTCCCTCGCCTATCCAGTGCCCTTTCCACCGTAACGGGGTCTCTCTCCCCCAGGGGCCTGCGATGGCATTTATTTCCCCAGTTCAGTTCTAATTTCCTCCTCCTATTGCCGCCATGTCGCTCACCGAATAAACAGTCTTTCGAACTGTTCGTCCCGCGCTGCCACACTCTACGCAAGACACAACACTTGGCAAGCTCCTTGAAGTCCTTGTCGGTTTCGCAGCGTCCGTATTCGTTGATGCGAGCCGACAGGAAGACGATTTGTAGGCGCAGTTTCTCCATCTGAAAAGTAATGTATGACAACGAAAAAAAGCAAGCGGAAACGCCCTATTAGATGTCAGATGAGGTATGTTTCTGATTTAGCAGTCCGACTAGCGTTGTAGGTTTCGAACCGGGTAGTAAAATCAGATAAATAAAGCCAACGGTATGCGAAGCGAAAAATTCATGAAAAAACTACGCAAAATCAAACGAAAGTCCTAGACGGCTTTGCCAATTTTTTTCAGCTAAAGCTTGCTATTCAAAACCTTCGATAAACCCCGAATTTATAGATGAACATAACTGTCGTTAAATCAAAAACTCGCTTGCGAATCGTTTGTTGAGAAGAGCCTACTTTCCAAAATTCGCGATAAACGCGCTTACATAGCTGTTTTTAAACGGTAAAAAGCAAGAAAGCCAAATCAAAATACTAACCTCGCGATGCTGGAAATTGTAGAGCCGTTGGAGATGATCAATCTGCGGCTGCAGCACTTCAGGTCGAAGATTCGCAACGTTCTGCTGCAAGTCCAGTTTCGCCGTGTGGTAGTAGTCGAGGCGCTGGCGCCGGGTGTTGGACAGCCTCTCGAGGTGGCCCCTGTACTCCTGATCAAAAAAAAAAGAAAATTCGTGAAAAACACGTGATTCATATTACACAGAGATTGTTTACGCGAAAAACAAAGAAAAACGATACGAATGATGAATCTAGGCGCAGAAAAACAACAAGAACTATAAAACAAACCTCCCAATACAGCTAGATCCGTGTCATCTTGGCCGTCAGACGGTACGGATTCTCAGCATCGCTCCCATCGCTGCTGATTGGCAGCGGGATGTCGCCCTTCTAAAAAAGGAGATGTTGCAAAAATCTAGATTGATAAACGCTAATACAACTAAACAGACGCTAAATAACCAACGTGAAGTTTTCTGCTGTGTTATTATAGTTTGAAAGGTTTTCAGTAATGTTTTATTGCACACAGCAAGATCGCATTCAGAAATACGTATCAATTATTTTGTAGCACTATAACTATAGTTATTTTCAGAAGTATTAGTAGTAGCAGCAGCAGTTGTAGTAGCGTTTGATAGTGTAGTTGCAGGGCTTCATTCCATAGCTTTCGTACTACCGGTGTTCTCAGTATTGACCCAGAACTCGGTTCAGCGACATTCGGAGTTCGGCTTGCTGAAAATCCATTTTTAACCCAAGTCGAGATATTTTATGTAATATTCAATATCATTAATTTTATTGAAACCTACCACTCTTAGCCTTGCTTCTTGCTCCGTTTCCCGCTGCTGCTCCTCGTTTGCCGCTTGCAGCACATTTTCGCGCAGCTCGTCCAGGATGTTGTTGATGCGCAGTGTCAGATGCTCCTGGAAATTATTTTTGTAAAGTTTAATCTGCTTTTTCTCAAGTTCTCGTGCCTAAAAACAAAGCATTCAAACGAAAAACGCTCATTTCCGTGTTTCAAGGCTTCTGGTTCGTTAACGGGGGGTAATGTCGCAGATTTTTCAATATTGAATTATTTTTTTGGGGGGACAGGCGACTCGGTAGAGCATCAAAAATATACTAAGAAATTTACTTCTAGATCGACATACAATAATTTAAGAAAGTTGTAGGCAAAAAAATAACGAACCAGAACCTTTCAAATTTTTAAACCCACCCTATGTACCTCGCTGCGCTCGTTGAGCCGCGCAATTTCGTGCGGCTCGTCGAACCACGCGTCAAAGTTGAACCCGTCCGTCTCGACGTTGTTGTTCCGGTCAATGGTCTCATTTTCGAATGGTAGAACGTCCGGGTCGTGCTCGTAGTCGTAAAGCGGGGCCGGTTGGGGCATGATAAGCTCCAGACCGAGGTCCTCCGGCAACACGGCCACTCCGCCCAGGTCGAGCTCATGCTCGGCCTCCTCGGTACCGGCTGGCCAAACCGGGAATTCGATGCCCTAAAAAATGTATAAGATTAATTTGGTTTTTATAATGGTTAATTTGGATTTTTTAAAAACAATTTTTCTTCGAGCCATATACACCCAGTGAGATAAAACTCACGTTTTCAATTGATTATTAGTATAATGTAACTATATTTCGAGGGGAAAATACATAAATAAACCTTTAAGCGTTGTAAAATCTGAAATTTTTGCCGAAAACTAGATGTTTTTGCGGAAAATTCGATATTTATCGTGTTTTCTAGTTGAGTCTTACCGAAAAATGATGAGAAACGGGTAAAGGTAGAGAAAACCGTTGAAGCACGATCATTTTCCCAATAACAAGAAGAGCCTGGCAAAATTAAACTTTGAGCATACCTCATCGTCCATGGCCCAGATGTAGTCCATTGATCTGCAGATGATGACGAATTAGACGGCGGAAGGAATGACTCACGGCCGTTTCGAAAACCTATAAACAACAACCCATCTGCCGTGCCGCCCCCGATTTTGAATATGATAAGCATCGAGCACTAATGGAAATGATAGATACGTTTCTCTCAGTTGCATTAATGTCTGGTGTAATACATATCAGAATCCCTAAAATCAGAATCTTGGATTTTCAGAATCTCGAATTTTGAGGATCTCGAGTTTTGAGGATCTCGAAATATGCCTATGCTGGATTCAGGGCGTAGGCGTGCAATTTGCGGATTCTTTAATGCTGATTTAAACTATGGAAATGTCGAGATTCTGAAAATTCGGAGGTTTTGAAATTTCAAGATTTTGAACATTCGAAATTTTGAAAATTCTAGATTCTGATTTTCGAGATTTTGACAGATTCCCCATCTGGTGGTATATATACCGGAGTAAAGAACAAAAACTAAGCACACTAAATAAACTGAAATGATCATAACGTTGGAACTGCGAACCGCTGTGCTGAAAGTGCAATTACAGTGCAAAAGAGATCGGCTGTTCGATATGTGATGGCCAGACTTGCCGGAAATTCAAAATAGGACATGGACAACCATGGCGAAAAGCTACGTACAATCCATGCTTCGGAACCCGATTATGTGGCTGCCGAGTGGTTTCATAAGCGTGTTGATTCGTTAGATTAACAGCTTCGTATCAGGCCCGAAAGTTTGAAGGATCCTATCTTGATGATTTACCTATTGATCGCAAGCTCTCCAGTAGCTATCTTCGCTCCGATCACCAAAGTTCATATTGTTTTCGTGCTTTTCCGAATTTTTTATGCAAACTCTATGCGCGTTTTTTTTTTCGCAAGACGTCATGTCACCGCATCATCGCGCGACCCGACCGATGTTTTCGCAGATGGTTTTTAGAAAGCTATTTATCGGCCGGACGCCATAAAGGCAACAAAAATGGAAGCTTTCAGGCTTTTGGAAAAAACCCGGTCACGGCAGGACGCAGGTCACCTAATATAGTCGCGTTCACCCATAAATTGCGTAAACTGAATTGCGTGGAGCCTTCGATTGCTCCCCAAAGAAAATCGGAAAACGAGTAGTCCTTGCGCCTGTTTAGTTTAGTTCGATTTGACTGCATGGCTAGTGAAGCTCCTATTCGCACGACCTATCCAATTTTAAGGTTGAGGAACCAGCGTTGTAATGTCTACTTGATACACTGCTCGTCGATATGAAGCGAAAATACTTTATTGACTAGTTTAGGACTCCAGGATTCGACAAGTACTCGATGATTATTTTAGTTCTCAACATCAATATAGTCATCCTCTCCATAATCGTCTTCCATGTCGGTTTCATCTTGGTCACCGTCGGCTTGTAGGGGTTGTTGCTGAGCCAGCCCCAAAGTTTCTTCCCAGTTCTGGACGAGTCGAGCCACCTGAAATATACTTCATTTTTCGGTTACGGCTACTAGGTCGTAATTTCCGCATTTCCAAACATGCATTTCATAATTTTTTTTACATAACCTACCAATAGAGCAATGGCTTGGTTCAGGATCGCCACTTGGGGATCTTGCACAAGGCCGTTCTGCTCAATTCCATTAGGTTGCATCATGACATTGGCACGAGCAATTTCCAGGGGCCTCTGCAAAATTCATCAGTTTTATATTTAATTATTTTTCTTTTAAATTAATTTTTGGTGTTAGTTTTCATTTTTCTTACGTATTTTTCTCAATTTATTTGATAAAAATCCGGAATGTCCGGCCATATATTTTAAGCATTTTTAGCATATTAGTAGTGGCTAAATGCTTTAATCTATGGCTAAAAAACTAGTTGATAAAAGCAAGCCGTGTAATTTAATAAAATTACCTGATAGATGGGGACGAACGGCAGGGGGCAGGCGTTGAACAGCTCGGCGTCCTCGGCGGGGTGCGGAATGAAGCACATTTTCAGGTAGTGGTAGTGGTGGGGGAAATCAGTGTTCGGTGATTTCCAGGGAAATGATACCATTTTGATAAGATCTCTTTAGCACATCTGTTGGCATTGGATGCAGCTGCGTGAAGTCTCACTGCAGGAGCACTAAGGAATTTTGAACTTTAGGACGCACCAATGAATTCATCTAAAAAGCCTTGCTAATCCGGATTCTTACAACGTGGACAGTAATATCAGGTTGGAAAGAGTAATGGCACAAAATCTTTGAACCGCTGTAAAAACCCGTAGGAACGTCCGATTTGAAAGTTTGATATATGGTTTGGTAGATCTTCGGATGCTCTATTACGAGACAACCATGAAAGGACCCTAAAACTGACGTACACTAAAATACAGGCCCCGAGTTTCGCAGAAAGTTAGGTGAAAGCTTCCAAGCGAGATATCTCTGCATACAGGCATTTGCATACGATATCGTTGACACGAATCGATGGCCCTCGAGGAGTAGATATCGCTAGATGTTGAGATCATCAAAATCGGACACTGGAAGGCCGAGATATGGGCCCTAGAAATTTGGTCCAATTCTTAGAACTTTTCTCGAAATGCCATGCATTTTGGCCTGCGCGAGCCAAAAACTGCTGCGTTTGCTTCAGCTCCCGAACCAAAATCCAGAAAACGCATTGATTTTCGAAGGCCCATATCTCGGCCATCCAGTGTCCAATTTTGATGATCTCAACATCTATCGATATCTACTCCTCGAGGGCTATCGATTGGTGTTAAAAGTATCGCATGCAAGTGCTTGTATGCAGAGTTATCTGACTTCGAAGCTTTTACCGAATTTTCTCTGAAACTTCTGAGACCTGTATTTTAGCGTACGTCAGTTTTAGGGTCCTTTCATGGTTGTCTCGTAATAGAGCATCCGAAGATCTACCAAACCATATATCAAACTTTCAAATCGGACGTTCCTACGGGTTTTTACAGCGGTTCAAAGATTTTGTGCCATTACTTTCTTTCCAACCTGATAATAATGGGATTTATTTAACCCGGCACGATTTTAAATCAATCGACTTAAATAAACGTTTTTATCAAAAGCGGATGTAAAGACTTTTAGCGATTTAAAGGATGTTAAATCGATGCAAAAAAAATGGCTGGACACTATGTTTGTTACAGTAATTTCTAAAATCACTCCACACTTTTACAAACGATTGAAGCACAGCGAACCGGTACTGTCTATTTGAAATTGAAATTTTACCCTTGAATTGGGCTCGAAGCCCGCTATTCCATTGTATGATCGTTTAGACGCTGTTCTTTGGATGTGATAGTATTTGTAGATACCGTACATTTTTTTGACCATGATGCCTCACAGCTGAGTGTCGTACGCGGCAATGTTCGATTTTCGGTGCGTGCGTTTTCATATTAACGGTTGCAAAAATAGTTTATAACACAGAACAGTTAATGCTCAACATCAATGTAGTCATCATCGCCATAATTATCTTCCATATCAGTTTCATCTTCTTGTTCTGGTCGCGGTTGTTGCGGAGCCACCCCCAACATTTCTTCCCAGTTCACGCCGTCCCGGTCGAGTTGAGCAACCTGGACGGCAATGACCAATTTTATATTAAATTATCACTAACGAATTTCTATATGTTATATTTCTAAGCTTGACATCGCAGCTTACCAATTCAACAATGGCTTGGTTCAGGATCGCAATTTGGCGGTACTGCTCGAGGGCGTTCCGGTTAATTTCGTCAATGTCCCTCAAGAGTTCGGCTTCGTCAATTTCTTTGGGGTCTCTGAAATAAATATACACCGTTTAACTAGGTGGTTTTAGTTATATACCATCACATATCTAATGGTTAAATTAGCAGAATTAAAAAGGGCGCCGAAGTTACAATTGCACTACGGTCGTCGATAACGAATTTCGAAGTACTTGAAAGGGCGATAAATCGTTTCAAAGATACCAAGTAAATCGGAACAAACGGCATCGGGCTGGCATCGAGCAACTCGGCGTCTTCGTCGTGACGGCGGACAAAGCACATTTTCGAATTTTGCGAGTCAAATGAATGAAATGACTGGTTGGTTTTCCCGGGGAAATGGATGATCTTGATAAGGCTTGTTCTGTACATCGGGTCGGTATCCGGTGCATCTGTTAAATCCCATTAATAGTGCAGTAAAAGGCGAGCCAAAACTGGTGACGCACCAATCAATACGTTCAAATTCTGTTTATCTAACGATTTTGTATAATAATGCAAGAGAGATCAATAGTAAAACGTACCAGTCATGGCTATGGCCTTTCCTGAAAATGTATTCCCTAGGCTTTTTGATCCCAGCGACACGCGACGCGTCCGCCGTTCAATGTAAAGGGGTCGTTACGGGGTATTACGCGATGGTTTTTGGCCGTTCTCCGTGCGCAAAATTAATATAATTGTATTCCATACTAAACAGGATCGGTTGTCTTCCCCATCCCTTTAAAAATACATTATTTTTTCGGTGCGACAAATGCTGTATTCTTCGAGATTTTCAACTTGCCCAAGCGCTAAAGCCTGCCCTTTCGCCCCTAAAGTCCACATTTTACCCAAATAAACTTTCAGCAAATTTACGACTCCCAGCGAATCGCCGCAGTTTCTTTGGCGCCGGAAACAAGTAACTCTATTTGTGGGGGTCTTTGCGATGGGTTTAGGCTTGTTGCCCCGAGTCCCCAGGGGAATATTGGGCACCCCAGGCCCATTTGTCGGCTCTCCACCGACACCTCTGACGAGTTTATAGACATGCACGGCTTCGGAGGGAGGCCACGGGCGGGTTTCTAGCCCTCGGACGTAACGAGTCACGAACGCGTCACACCACTTTACACCGCGTAATTGATCTCACAAACCCAGTTATTTGCGACAAATAATCTTGTAAAGGTTATTCTAACGCTAGAAACAAAAGAAATATAGTTGTAAAACAGATTTGGACGTGAAAGGGGCATAACTCTGCCTGTTTCGAGCAGATTGACAGTTTCGCTGGTTCTTTTGCACAGCAGTACGAATAAGAAAGCCTGTTCTAACACGAAGAAGCTTCTTCTATAGGCACCAACACGCCGTTCTCCATTTTCGCGAGCAATTATCGTTTGCAAACATTGTGTACACAATGTTCGCAATTCAAGAATCTTTTCTGAATTACCCAAATCACACATTATAACTGAGAGCCGTAGGCTAAGATGGCCCGAACTTGAAGGAGCAATGGTAGCGGTAAAAAGCAAAACCAAACAAGCGCTTTACAATGCCCATATCATCACCAGCCTTTCACGCATGCTCGAACGTTACATCATTAGGTTTCATCCTCAATGTCTAAATTATCTCGACGAAGCTCGGCTGGTTTTTTAGAGGTTCAATCAGCAAAGTGCCTGGCCTTGCGTAACACTTATTTATAACGGCAGTGATAAAGTGAACTCGTGATTGAATAGGGATTCTTACTAGTTAGTCGTGTGTGATGAACCAGCAAAACTGTCAATCTTCTCGAAACAGGCAGAGTTATGCCCCTTTCACGTCCAAATCTGTTTTACAACTATATCTCTTTTGTTTCTAGCGTTAGAATAACCGTTACAAGATTATTTGTCGCAAATAACTGGGTTTGTGAAATCAATTACGCGGTGTAAAGTGGTGTGACGCGTTCGTGACTCGTCACGTCCGAGGGCTAGAAACCCGCCCGTGGGGAGGCCCCGGAAGCTGGCGGGCAGTCAAATTTCATATTTTTTTGCAATGGGTGGACTTTTTTTTGACATAATCCCAAGCTTTTCCGGCCGTTACGGTATCCTTAGCCAAATCTTGGTTCAGTTGCATTATCGGGTGTGGGGGAGAGTTGCGGGCAAAACTCAACTTTTTAGCTTCCAATTTTTCCATATAAATAAAATGAGTTTTCTACGCTTTTTTTTCTTATTATTAAACGCAAAAATTTTACAAATTTATGAGCTATGAAAACATAACTGTTTTCACCAAAACTACGCCTTCTCATATTTTTAGTGTTTTATTGACCCTTTTTTTTGTTTAAATAAAAACACCAATAAATTGCTTATATTACGTTACTAGGCCCTTCTGATTGAAATGTACAGGGTGTCTCAAAAAAAAACGACCCATCTGGCATTTCGCCGTGTTACATCCAATCGGTCACATATTTGGACCAGCGGTGTATCAGATCCTAAATAACACCAATCCTGACTTAGAGCCCCGTAGCTATAGTAGTTTTCGAGTTATAGCAAAAACAAACTTTATTTTCTATTTTTCATAGGGTTTTCGTGGAATTAGACCCCCTAAATATTAAGTGAAAATGATTCCGTGGGCCTTCTTTACCTTAAGAAATTTTTCCGGGCTAAATTTAATCAAATAAGCGTCGATTTACGCGATTTTTACAACACAAAATTACCCAAGTTCTTAAGCGAAATTAGGGAATCACAGCCGGAAGTCGATGCAAATCGATGCTAAGGCCAAAGACTGTTTAGAATTGCGCAAAAAACAGTAATTTGGTTATAACTTGACCACTACTGTAGCTGGCGGGCTATAAGTCAGGATTGTTGTTATTGTTATGCACCTCTCGTTCAATTTTGAGACCGATTGGACGTAACACGGCGAAATGCCAGATGGGTCGTTTTTTTTTGGGACACCCTGTACATGAATGAGTCCCCCCCCCGATAACTCAAAAGCACCACTTCATCAATCATGAGACCTCATCGACATTTGAAGAAGGGTTCAAAGCTATAGGCATTTGCTGCTATCGAAAATCCGGATAATTAAAGGGGCTGCATCCTAGTTAATTCTATTGGCAGTTTTCTCGAGGCCAAATATTCGTCCAAAAACCGATTCCCGGCCATATTTCACCTCCACCCAATGCTTAGCAGCCAGTAGACACGGTGAGTGTACGGCCGAGCCTAGATGTTAGTGTTAGATAAAGCCCAATGCAACCCCCCAGCCCGCCTCAAGGTTCCACCTCCGCGTGATTAATGGCCGCCGGGAACTCGTGTTTTTGGTGGATTTATTGCTGAAAAA